CTCTACTTTCTACAAATATTTTTTTAATGAGTTTATATTTTAGGGATTTATTACTATCATATAGGACAACAATTTACCAAAGTATGAAGCCAATCCCAGAACATTGACTTTTTGGGCTGGGGCGATTGAAAAAGAATCTCTCATATATATATATATATATATATATATGGGACGTTTCATGTCAACAGGCCCAGAGCTCCATACAAAATTCTAGTCAACGAAAATCAACTTATTACGGCTCAAAATAATCGTCAGCTCATACTGCTTTGAATTAAAAGTGGTGAATTAAAAAATTCAAAATGGCGTCCTTACTGTACCATGTTTTGCAAATTTTTTTACTAACTCAGCAAACAAATGGTGGATACAATATGGCGACCAAATTTTTTTTTAAATTATCAGATTTGTTTGAACCTTGTTACTCGGGGGTTTTTGGGGTCGCTGATTACGATTCTAAAGTCATATTTTAAAAATTTTCAAAATTCAAGATGGCTGATCGAATACGGCGGACATTTTTATTAAAATTTGATCAGATTCGCTTGAAACTTGCTACTCGGGGGTTTTTTGGGTCGCTGATTACGAATATAAAGTCAGATTTTAAAAATGTTCAACATTCAAAATGGTGAATCCAATATGGCGACCAAATTTTTTTTAAAAATTATCAGATTTGCTTGAAACTTGTTACTCGGGGATTTTTGGGGTCGATGATCACGAATCTTACGTCAACTTTTAAAATTCAGGTCACAGATCACGATTCTGATGTAAAAGTTGTTAAAAATTCAAAATGGTGGAGCCAATATGGCGGTTGAAATTGTGAAATTTGTTTGCATTTATAAACTTAAATGTAATGAGGTTAATTTTTGAGGTTAAGGTTTTTAGAGTGAAGGACAGTTTTTGAAATTCATTTTGAGAATATTTGAAAGTTTCAGTTGTGCTTAAATTGTAAAAAAATGATATAGAGGAAATTTTTATTAAGGAAAGGAAAAATTTTAAAAAAGTAATTTAAATAGTTAAAGGACGAGGTTCTTGGAGGTAAGGGTAGATTTTTCAAAATTTAATTTAAGGCTTTTTAAAAGCCTCAAATTAGCAAAAATTATAAAAGATTTATGTAGAGTAAATTTTAAAAAATATTAAATTTCTATATTAAGGTGTAGTTTTGGGGATTAAGGGTAGTATTTTGAAAAATTACTTTTATGATATTTAAGATCCTTTAAATGAAGCCTAAATTTGTATGGAAGAAAAATTTAAAACAACTAATTGAATAATGTGAAAGGGGTGGTTTATGGAGTTAAGGGTGGCGAATCCATCCAATTTTTAAATACTTTATTAACCATTTTGAAACCACCAATCTTATTTTATAATATCCAGATTCAAATTCGCAATCACCGACCCCAAAAATCCCCGAGTAACAAGTTTCAAGCAAATCTGATAATTTTAAAAAAATTTTGGTCGCTATATTGGATTCACCATTTTGAATTTTGAACATTTTTAAAATCTGACTTTATATACGTAATCAGCGACCCAAAAAACCCCGAGTAGCAAGTTTCAAGCGAATCTGATCAAATTTTAATAAAAATGTCCGCCGTATTCGATCAGCCATCTTGAATTTTTAAAATTTTTAAAATCTGACTTCAGATTCGTAATCAGCGACCCCAAAAACCCCCGAGTAACAAGGCTCAAACAAATCTGATAATTTTGAAAAAAAATTTGGTCGCCATATGGGATCCGCCATTTTGAATTTTTAAAATCTGACTTTATATTCGTAATCAGCGACCCCACAAACCCCCGAGTAGCAAGTTTCAAGCGAATCTGATCAAATTTTAATAAAAATGTCCGCCATATTGGATCCGCCATCTTGAATTTTGAAAATTTTTAAAATCTGACTTCAGATTCGTAATCATCGACCCCAAAAACATAAGAGTAACCTATTATCCAACAAGTTGCAATTATTTTCTCAAGGTAATTAATACATTTGTTTGCTGAGTTAGTAAAAAAATTTGCAAAACATGGTACAGTTAGGACGCCATTTTGAATTTTTTAATTCGCCACTTTTTATTCGAAGCAGTATGAGCTTGAAACTTGTTACTCGGGGGTTTTTGGAGTCGCTCATTACGAATCTAAAGTCAGATTTTAAAAATGTTCAAAATTCAAAATGGTGGATCCAATATGGCGACCAAAAATTTTTTTAAAATTATCAGATTTGCTTGAAACTTGTTACTCGGGGATTTTTGGGGTCGGTGATTGCGAATTTGAATCTGGATATTATAAAATAAGATTGGTGATTTCAAAATGGTTAATAAAGTATTTAAAAATTGGATGGATTCGCCACCCTTAACTCCATAAACCACCCCTTTCACATTATTCAATTAGTTGTTTTAAATTTTTCTTCCATACAAATTTAGGCTTCATTTAAAGGATCTTAAATATCATAAAAGTAATTTTTCAAAATACTACCCTTAATCCTCAAAACTACACCTTAATATAGAAATTTAATATTTTTTAAAATTTACTCTACATAAATCTTTTATAATTTTTGCTAATTTGAGGCTTTTAAATAGCCTTAAATTAAATTTTGAAAAATCTACCCTTACCTCCAAGAACCTCGTCCTTTAAATATTTAAATTACTTTTTTAAAATTTTTCCTTTCCTTAATAAAAATTTCCTCTATATCATTTTTTTACAATTTAAACACAACTGAAACTTTCAAATATTCTCAAATTGAATTTCAAAAACTGTCCTTCACTCGAAAAACCTTAACCTCAAAAATCAACCTCATTACATTTAAGTTTATAAATGCAAACACATTTTACAATTTCAACCGCCATATTGGCTCCACCATTTTGAATTTTTAACAACTTTTACATCAGAATCGTGATCTGTGACCTGATTTTTAAAAGTTGACGTAAGATTCGTGTTCATCGACCCTAAAAATCGCCGAGTAACAAGTTTCAAGCAAATCTGATAATTTTTAAAAAAATTTTGGTCGCTATATTGGATTCACCATTTTGAATTTTGAACATTTTTAAAATCTGACTTTATATACGTAATCAGCGACCCAAAAAACCCCGAGTAGCAAGTTTCAAGCGAATCTGATCAAATTTTAATAAAAATGTCCGCCGTATTCGATCAGCCATCTTGAATTTTAAAAATTTTTAAAATATGACTTTAGAATCGCAATCAGCGACCCCAAAAACCCCCGAGTAACAAGGCTCAAACAAATCTGATAATTTTGAAAAAAAATTTGGTCGCCATATTGGATCCGCCATTTTGAATTTTTAAAATCTGACTTTATATTCGTAATCAGCGACCCCACAAACCCCCGAGTAGCAAGTTTCAAGCGAATCTGATCAAATTTTAATAAAAATGTCCGCCATATTGGATCCGCCATCTTGAATTTTGAAAATTTTTAAAATCTGACTTCAGATTCGTAATCATCGACCCCAAAAACATAAGAGTAACCCATTATTCAACAAGTTGCAATTATTTTCTCAAGGTAATTAATACATTTGTTTGCTGAGTTAGTAAAAAAATTTGCAAAACATGGTACAGTAAGGACGCCATTTTGAATTTTTTAATTCGCCACTTTTTATTCGAAGCAGTATGAGCTGACGATTATTTTGAGCCGTAATAAGTTGATTTTCGTTAATTAGAATTTTGGATGGAGCTCTGGGCCGGTTGACGTGAAACGTCCCATATATATAAAATGGCTGATCCAATATGGCGGATGTAACGAGTTTAATTTTAAAAATTCATCGGATTCAGTTAAGACTCGTTACTCTGGGGTTTTTGGGGTCGCTGATTCCGAATATGAAGTTAGATTTTCAAAATGCAAATTCAAAATCCTCTTATTCAAGGGCAATTCGAATTGGACGACAAAAGCGTATACTCTGAGGAGTAGGATTTGTCCATGTTAATTCATTTCGCCTACAGTTCTTTAGTTGTATAATAATTATGCTACTAACAAACAGAGATTGCACAGCATTTGGATATTCATTCGGTGAGTTTTGGCATTTTTGTTGTGGATTCACAAGTCCTGATGAACTATCAAATCCTAAAGTGACTAATTACTCTAAATTAAGCAAATCTCTTTTATCCCAATCACAAGCAATGGATTCGCATAAACGTTCAGAGGTTTTGTTTAACTAGTCTGCTAGAGGTATAAAAATTTCAGTTTTAGATGAATAATAATTAAGAGGCTTGCAATCAATCATAGATTTTTGTACTTCTGTGTAACATGGATAAATAGAACTATTTCTTGTTTTACTATCTTGTGCTAAAGCCTCATAACTTTTTTTTTGAAAAATCAAATTCTAATTAAAAAGCTAATGCTGATTCAATTGTATGTTTAGTTACATTTGGTACTTCAGTGGTGCATAAATCATCATTTAAGTTATCTTTAGAAATAAATTTTTTTCCTCTATTTTTGCAGCTAATTTTATAGCAGGAATATTCTGTTTTGCAAAATTTAAAATTTAATTGGCTCTTCTATAGATTGTTTTTTTAGACACATTTTTCTTATCCATTTCACCTTTTTTCTACCAAGATTTAAAAGATATTTAATTTTTTAGCTCGACGGCCACGACTTTTTTAACATTTTCAGTTTTTTTCGTTTTCATACTAAGTATGTAATATTAATATTTAAAAATCTTAAATATTTGTAACTACAAATCTTTAGTAGTTAAATTGACTAGCACGATGAAAATTCAAAAAAGTGTTATTTAACGTGCAAGAACTCCCTGTACAGGTATACAAGCACGATCCCCCATGGGACACGGGGTCAAGAGTTAATACCTGACCAGCACCGATGACGCAGAATTTCTTCCAGTCACCTGCCAATTGACAATGCGACCGACCTAAGACACGATTGACACTCTTGGTGAGAGCCGGGACCTTTCCAATCCCTGGGAACTCTGCAGGTTTCCACCCGAGTTGAGTTAATGCAACTCACACACCGAATGCGAAAGACGTGTGCACAACGTGCTAACGCACGCTAACCCCAAGCGATGTGGGCTGTAATCACTGCCACCACGAATCCATACCCAATGCCTGCCGGAGACCTGAAGGTCTCCTGGGCTCCAGACACGTCCCGTGGTACCATTCTACTCAGGTATGAGTACCACTTTCCAGTATCCGGTGAAGCGGAGGCCATACTGGCGGTCGGTTACCGTTTAAATACGACAACATGCACCACATATATGCCAAAACCAACCGGAAGGTAGTGATTTCCGAAAAACTCGGAACTACTTCACGTCAAGGCAAGCGGCAACACGTGCCGAAGCCACCATCCTTTACTATTAGCCTATTGGAACATCACGATTGAACCATTCGGCATTTTGGGATGCTTATTGACCAATGTTACACAGGTTTGTTAATTGTTGGCAGCGGCGAGATTGATGCCAGAAATCTAAAGCAAACCTCCTCAGACAATAACAGTTGCAAGTATAACACTGTTACGTAATGTAACATAAATAATATTTTACAAATTCTTATAACACATAATAATAATTTAATATTTATATTTTAAATTAAAATTATAGTTATAAAAATTTTATAACAATTTTAAGCCTGGATTCTCATCCAATAGCTTGGGAATTGATTTTGGTTATTTTATCTCTATTGAATTTTCTTATAGAAAATTGAAAAATAAAGGGAATACATAAAATAAGGAGTAAAATTTGTTAGTCACAACTATATAAAGTGACGTTAACAAATTTAGGAATCAAAGGTTGAAATAATTTGGAATCACATAGGTAAAAATAATACAATTTTAAAAAATAACCGCCAGCTTTAATACGGCAGTATTCTTTGGAATTGGGAAATTGTGAAACATTTTTTAGAAAGAGAAAGAAGTTTCCAAAACGAAATAAAGTAAAGATAGTAAATATAATTTTAAAATTTACTTTTTATTTATCAATGATAATTTTCCCTGAAGATGCAAAATATATTGGATTAATCGTCCTTCGTTGATTTTTTTATGATTCGGTAATAATCGTAGAAAACTCACTGAACTTTTGAGAATTTGAAAATATAAAATTTGAATAACTTTTAGAATTTTGTTTTGAGTTGGTGTATACGAATTTGAATGTTGAAAATAACTTTTGAATGTCTTTTTATGAGTTTGAATATAGAAATTTAAAGGTTTGTCCCCACTACAAATTTTGAGTTTTGGGGTAGATTTTAAAGAAGGGAGAGATTTTTTGTAGAAAGGGAAATTTCTTGTAGGCGGAGAAGAAAGGGAGTTGAGAAAACTTGTTATTGGTTTTTCTCAAAGAAAATGGTAAAAATTCGTAAGAAAAAATGGAGAAAACTAATTTACATTTTCTTTCTATTGGGCCCCACTGACCCAACCCTTAGGGGGTTTGGAACTTGTGGGTGTTCCTTTAAGGACACAGATTTCCAAAAGTAGGGATAAAATCTCAAAGAAGGGGAGATCTTTTATATTTTGCATCTTTTTACAATTAGATTAAATTTTTGTTATAAACAATAATAATTTTTATTATAATTTGTTATTAACAATTATTATTTGACGACTAAGGTTTCACGCTTCATTAACTATTTACAAAAAAATAAGAGAAAAAACAGATTCATTATGAGTCGGAGAAATAAGAAGAAACAACATGATTTTTTAAATAAACAGATGTTGTTTTTTCTTAAAAAGATAAGAAACGTGGAAAAAATTAAATATAGAAAAAAAAATAAAGTCGGAAAAAATGACCATATGTAACAACACAGACCACCGTCCTTTACCATTACCATTACGAGAGTTCACTATCACCGTGGCTTTTGGGACGCATTCTCAATTATCCGACTCGCACGGATCGCCTTGAGGACGGACGAACAAATATTTGACTTGCATGAACGCTTCTGCACTGCCAGCCCCTAGCTGGTAACCTACGGGGGCCCTATTCTGATGCCGGGGCCGCCACGGCGGTATTTATCAAACAGCACCTTTCATATATATATATATATGCACACAAATAAATAAAACAAGTAAAGCAGATTATTTTTTAAATAATCATCCGCCAAATTAGATCCGCCATTTTGAATTTTTAAAATCTGACATCATATTCATAAGCAGCGATCCCAAAAACCCCCGTGTGCCAATTTTCATGTCAATTGGATCGATTTTTCAAAAAGTCGTCCGCGATATTGGATCCGCCATTTTAAATTTTTTTAAACTGACATTAGATTGGTAATCAGCGACCCCGAACACCCCCGAGTAACAATTTCCAAGCGAATCCAATTATTTTTTAAAATAGTTGTATTTACGGACATTGTGAGTCAATTTTTGAGTTTTACAACTTAAAAAAATCATTTTTGACAGCTAATTTAGTTTGTTGTTGTCAATATCGCTATATCTTCGTGAACTACACGGATCAAGCTTTAATTTGACTCCCAGGACAAGTCTCTATCACGTCAAGTTTGCCCGGTAAAAATTTTCAAAAACTGACAAAAACGTGATTTTTGGGTTTTTTACGCAGATTCAGGTTCAGCGCACCAAAAACTACGGGAAATGACTCCTCGATCTCTGACAACCGAAATTTTTTTTGTATCCTTGTGTAATTTTTAATATTATAATTAAAAAATTATAATTGGCTGCCATATTAAAAATATATAAATAAATATAATTAATTAAAAACAATTTTAATTTATTATAAAAATGTAATAAGATTAATAAAAAATGAAATCATTTATTCTTATAAAAATATGTAAATATTATTGTTAACTAAAAATTTTTTATAGTATATATTTTAATATTTTTTAATGTAAAAAAACTAATGCAAAATTAAAAATAATAATAATAAATAAAAGTGTAAAAAACAAAAGCTTAAGCAAAAACAACTAACTTTAAAAGTCTTTACGGACCGAAAGAATATGAAGATTATTAATGTAATAATAAAATAGTTGTCTTAAAAATGATATTTACACCTACCTAAAAATTAGGAACAACATTGCCGATAAAAAAAGTCATTAACGATTAACATTTTGCACATTAAGTAAATAAATGAAATACAATGTTTATTTTAAGATCAATAAGTAATAATAAAAGTAAAGCTTATTTATATGTTTTGATATTGATATACGCATCCTGCAATGGTATTTAGGTTGAGAACCTCCTTTCGCCTCAAGGCGCCATAGGGCTTGTATCTCGTAAACACCCCCCAAAAACCCCCGAGTAACGATTTTCAAGCGATACCGAACGATTTTTTTTAAACTCTTCCGCTATATTGGAACGGCTATTTTAAATTTTGAAAAACGAACACCGGATTCGTAATCAGCGACCCCGAAAACCCCCGAGTAACGATTTTCAAGCGAATATAATATAAGCGAATAAGTACATAAAAAAAAGTTGTCTGTGTCCGAGGGACCCAGCTAAGGCAACTACGTACATAAGAGCTATAAAATAATGTATTAGAAAGAGTTTTTCATAAAAAAATTTTTTATCTTTTTTTTTAAATGAACGTTATAGCATCAGCCTTTCCAATTTGATAACGATTTTGAAAAAAGATGTTTTAAATAGAAGTAGATGAAAAAGCAAATTGTCTGGGTCCGAGGGACCCAGCTCAGGCACGCAAAGGTTAAACCTTATTTTAAATTAATCCAATTTATTGAATAAATTATTACATTCTTTTAAAAAATAAAAATTTTAAATTATATTATATCAATTTAGTTACATTTAAATTTTATTTAAAAATTTATCCTTTAAAATATTAAAATTATTCAATCAATCAATTATTGAGGAGCAGCATGGTTTCACGAGGGGCAGATCTGTTTTGACAAATATGAGTCTTTTTTCTAATTTTGTACTTAATAACTTAGATAAGGGTTTACAAGTTGATGTGGTCTACACAGATTTTGCCAAAGCTTTTGACAAAGTTGATCATGGTATTCTCTTGGTGAAGCTTAAAGCACTAGGTTTTTCTTCTAATTTACTCAAGTGGGTTACAAGCTACCTTCAAAATAGAACTTTATCAGTACGTGTGCATTACGAGTATTCTAACATTTTTATTGCTAAAATCTGGTTTCCCACAGGGCTCTAATCTTGGACCTCTATTTTTTATACTTTTTATTAATAACATAAATTTAATATTTAAATTTTGTAAATTTTTATTATTTGCTGATGATTTGAAATTATTTATTAAAACTTTCAACGTTAGTGACTACATGCAATTACAATATGATCTTAATCAACTTCAGTCTTGGTCTGAAAAAAATTAACTTTTTCTAAATATCAGTAAATGTAAAGTAATATCATTTTCTAAAACCTCAAATATCATCATTCAAAATTATACTATAGATGGTAATAAACTTTCTAGAGTGTCCTTGATACGTGACCTTGGGATAATGATTAACGATTAATTTTCTTACATTGATCACATTACTCATACAATTAATAAGGCTACCAGAGCTTTGGGTTTCGTTATTAGGAATGTTTTCGTAATTTAGCAGCATTGAAAACTCTTTATTTTGCTCTTGTCAGGCCCATACTTGAATTTGTCTCAGTATTGTGGAGACCATATCAGGATTACCTGATAGTTGATATTGAACGTGTTCAGAATAGATTTTTGCGTTTTATAGCTGGACAAATTGGTATGCCTGTGGATTACCAGAATCATGATTACACAGATTCACGTGAGGTATTTAAAATACCATTATTATCTCAAAGATTTATGTATGCTGACTTATTATTTTTGTTCAAAATTATTAACGGTATTATTAACTGCACAGAACTTTTACTTTTATTTTGTTTTCATATACCGCAAAGATCAGCAAGACATCCACAATTATTTAATGTTTCTTTTTGCAGAAGTGACTATTTAGATAATTCTGTAATTAACAGACTACCTAGGGAGGCAAATCAGTTCAATGGTAATGTCAATCTCTTTGGTATTTCTTTAAACTTTTTCATAAGAGAACTTCGTAACCTGTATAAAATTTCTTATCTATAGTACTTTGTAGCGGGAGAAAAGTATGTCTTTTTCGACGAGCGGGAGGGAAAGTTACTTTCCCTCCCGGTGATGTTGTTATTAGGTATTACATATTAATCAAACTATGAACAATAGTGAGTCTCAAACGTCTGGTACACCACAACTAGTAACTACACTACTACCAGACACAATCATACCATCATCAATAGTATCCACACTACCGCATTTGTACTTTCGGTATACGTGTGTTAGAAAAAATAGTATGTGCAACTCGGGAGGAAAATGATTTCCACTAGTGTAGTTTGCAGTTCGAGACGTAGCGAGCGCACGAGCCGCAGGCGAAGGTTTGCGAGTGAAGACTGGCCATTGTGCATAGCGAAGCTGGGACAGCGAAGACTAGGGACAGGAGGAACAACTCGACTGTTTGCCCACATGGAGCAGTGGGCTAGATTGTGCCAAATAACATAAAATATGTACAGTTGAGCAAGTGTTTCATAGTTAGCGCTTGAGTTGGTTTCAAGAGATTTTTTAAAGAAAAAGTAGAAAAAAGAAATCTTGTAGACAAGGTAAATCATTTTAGGTATCTTGGAAATACATTATAAATACATCCAAAAAATATGTTTTCCATTTTTATTTAATTAATTTGTATGTTAGGGTCGTTTTATGGATACCTTAGGGACATTTTTAGAACGACTCAAGGATATTCTAACCCTTAAGATAATACAAACATACTGTGGATATCCTTAGGACGTCCTAAGGACATCCCTAATTATTCCAGAGATATCCTTGGGATATCCTTAGGACGTCCTGAGGATATCCTTGGGACGTTCTAAGGATATCCACAGGATATCCTAATAATAACCGGGGAAATGATTAGGATATCCCTGGGACGTCCTAGGGACATCCTTAGATATCCCTAGGATATCCTAACCACCGCTACTTTGAATATCCTTAAAGTATCCTTAGGATATCCCTAGGATATCCAAGGGATGTTTTTGTAATATCCTAGGATATCTGGTACTGTGAGGGAAATATTGATAATTTATCTAAAGGATTAATTAAACCTCGATTATCCGACAGGCACCGGACCAGCACTATGCCGGATAATCGAAATGACTGATAATAGAGGTGCATAAATTTATTATTTTTATTTTTAACAAATTTCGTCACTAAACATTTCTGTACATAATATATTAATAATTATGTATGTAACAAAAAATCTGTCATTTTTGTTTATATAATTTTGCATCGAGAATTATTTGTCGCATATGTGCGCAGTCGACGAAAAATCATATTCCACAATTTCGTCTGTGCGTCTTTTTGAGTCACTTATAGTAGTTCGCGGAACATTGTTAATTTTACTGAAAGTAACGGCAGTTGCTCCTTTTTTAAGTGACAAATACAAAAAATCAAATTTTAGATGGCAGAAATGTCATATTTATAGAAATAAACCTGAACTTGTCGTCAAATAAAATATTATGCATTACGTAAAAAAAATTTCGAAATGAGGACAGTTGACAGAGGGCCAGATAATCGAGGTTCCACTGTAATACTTTTGATCGAAAAACAAAACTCGGTGCACAACTCCCACTCTCCCCTATATATTCTTATTTTAAGAATTATTTATGGTGAGTTTAAGTATAAAATATTCTTAAATAGGCACCAAAAATATATTCATAAAAAAAATCTTTGAAAAAACCTTAAAATCACCTTAATCTCCCCTTAAAGTAGCTTTAGACACACTGTGATCCTTACTTTAGCTGCTAACCTTAGCTATTTTGAATTTTAAAGCTTACATTACATTTTGAAAACAATTTTCAAACAACTTTAGCATCCTTGCACATTCAATTTCCATACGAAATGTGAGTACCAATCAATCGGACATTTTAAATGTTCATGGATACGTATCTAACGCTCACACAGATATTTTCACACATTTTAATCTTAAAATATACTACTATTAAAATACTTTATTTTTCAGAGTTCAGGAGCTTATTTGTGTCAAGAATTTACGAAAGGTGCGAGCTTAAATTATCGAACTCATCTTTTTTTCATGGAATATGAATACAACTTTTTTTCTCCTTTTGACGTTGTGTTGGTTACGCAGTGTAGTGCCAATAGGATGTCATTTTTGGAGGAAATATCAAAGAATTGGCCAGGTTCTATCAGTGTGGCTCTTTACTTTACAGATAATGAAGTTCAATCTTTTGTCAAATTCGTCCAAAATTCTGAAAGTTTGCGGAAAAGGAAGAATATTGCTTATCATATTGTTTATAAAGAAGGTGTACGTTAAATTGACTTTCTTATCCAATAGATACAAAAAGTCACTTTTATATTAGACAACAAGGAGTAAAGCATGCGCTTTTTTCCGCAAGAAAAAAAAATATAGTAGGGGAGCCCAATGTGTTTATTGGGATTAACTCGAGCGCTGCAGATGAAATTCCTTGCATGTTGTTGAGTACCTCTTCCAAGTATTAACTCTTTTTATAAAGACGTACGTCTAGAATAGTCTGTCAGATTAGTAATAAAAATCGATTGTTGGAAATATTTAAGCGCGTCAGATTAAGGTAAGGTGGATTAATTACTAGCTAAAAAATATACTTTTTAAAAATCTTATGATTGGAGCGTAACGTAAGGGAGCGGGAGGGTTAAAATTTGCAAAAAAAATATTGTCTTGACATACTCTAGCGCCGTTAAATTTTTTTTACTTTGAAGGAAATAACACAAGAATCACGAATCCTTACTATAAAACGAGTAGATATGCAAATTAGGCAAGAGGAAGATATTCTTGTTATTTTTATGGACAGAAGAGAGAAGATGATTGCGTTAAATTTTAAGCCGAAAAGAGTCTTATGCTATTTTCCTTAGATAGAAGGGGGAAAATAGTTTTTAAACAAAGATATTCTTCTGTTATTTCTTTGTGATAGATGAAGAAAGAAAAGTGTTAAATTTTTGCGTTAGATGACAAAGAGATTCTTATGTCGTTTTTCTTGAAATTAAGTGAGATATCCAATCCTATTTATCGACACCTGAATAAAGAGAGAGAGACTTCAGGTTTCTCTTTTGTGATTGTTCTGTTACATCCTAAGATGCACATAACAGAAGAATTTTAATTAATTATTTTTAAGTCAGGAACGCATTGTCCTCTAACTTGGAAATAATTTTCAGTTTGAATTTTCTTTTAGAAAAATTAAGGAAGAAAGAATATTAAAGATATTTTTATTTGTTGTATCGATAGAATATCAACTCGTTATTCAGGTGTTTTCAAGGTCGCTGTTTACGATTCTATTTATTAGTAAATTGTATTGATTTTTAATTTTCCTGTCTGCCATATTGGATCCCACATTAAAAATTTTTAAAAACTTACATCAAATTCGACACCAGCGACCCCGAAAACCCTCGAGTAACGATTTTCAAGCAAATATGTTTAAATTTCTAAAAGTGGTCCACCATATTGAAAGCGTCATTTTGAATTTAAAAAAAAAGGATAACGAAATTGTAATCAGCGACCCAGAAAACCCCCGAATAAGATGTTTTACCGAATTGCATTTGATTTTTAAAAATTCGTTCGCCATATTGGATCCGCCATTTTGAATTTTTAAAACCGGTTTTTGGGGTCGCTGATTGGGAATTTAAAGTTATTCACTGATTACAAATCTAAAGTCAGATTCTTAACATTTTAAAAAATTAAAAATGTCTGATCAGCCACACCAAAAACCCTAAGATGCCTATTTGCACAAAAATCCAATATTTTTTCAAAGAAACCCATGAGTACGAATTTTTAAGCAAATCCAAATAATTTTTTAAAATATTGTCCGCCATATTAGACCCGTCATTTTTAATTTTGAAAAACTAACATCGGATAGATCAGATGCAGTTGTAGTATCGTGTACTAACAAACATATTACTCTTCCCACATAATACTGCTTATTGTTGTAAGGTTTGATATATATATATAAATAAAGTTATTGCAATCCTGAAGATACCAATTGAAAGTTGACGTAATTCCGCATCCAACTATTTTGGATAAGAAGATTTTTTTATAAACAATTGCCATGTTAGTCAATTGTTTATTAACAATCCACTAACTTAAAGTACTTCATATAGGGCTCGTTGGATGCGGAATTATGTCAACTTTCATTTAGAAACGTCAGAATTACGATAACTTTATTTGTTTGTTAAATATATCATTTTTTTATTAACCTTAATAGTTAATTAATTAACTAATAATTGTAAATATTATGTAAGTAAACAAAAAAAATTTTGACATATATGTTTTCCAAATTTTTTTTGTGCTCTTGCGATTAGTGAAAAAAAAATTACAAAAAATTCAAAATTTGACCCTTTTTTCTGAAAATCAAAAAATTTTTTGACTGTTTTTCTAAGTTCGGTCTTTTTTTTAAATTTATTTTTTTTTTTGAAAGCTAAAAATATGCATTTTTACCTCAAAAAATATTGAGATGTCCCTTTTTGTTATTTTCGAGATATTAGTTAATTAATTAATTATTGTCAATAAAAATTTATATATTTTATAAAGGAATAAATGTATCGTAATTTTGACGTTACTTAATAAAAATTGTCATAATTCCGCATCCAACGAGCCCTATATGAAGTACTTTCGGTTAGTGGATTGTTAATAAACAGTTGGCTAACATGGCTATAGTTTATAGAAAATCCTCTAATCCAAAATAGTCCATATAGGGCTCGTTGCGGAATTACGTCAGCTTTCAATTGGTACCTTGAGGAATGCAATAACTTTGACCTATGACATTTAATATTTTAAGGAGGAGGGTCATCTCCTGACTTCTGATACTAATTTTAAGGTTATGTCTGTCTCAACTCCTTAAAAAACTTTGGTTTTTGACATATGTCCTTGATTTTTGAGGTTATGTTACTTGTACAAAGTTATTGCTTTAAAGTTGTACAAGTTGCATGGTAGGCGAGTATATCGAGTTCCCGTCACTGAAATATAATACTACTAGAACAGGCACGCACGGTCTCGCCTGTAAGAGAAAATCGGTCCTGCGACAGACTCTATCGAAGGTCTAGCTTTCTCTCTCACTAATATTGTGCGCACGCTTAGAACGCGTCATCACAGTGAAGTCCAAAAGTTTTAAATGATTTTAAAGTATCACTCCCGGCTGAAAAAACTTGTACAAGAAAATGTACAAGTTCTTGTACATGTTCATTAATGAACTTGTACATTTTCTTGTGCATGTTCGAGTAATGTTCTTGAACAAGTTCAGCATCCGGAATTGAGACATGTTCTTGTACCAGAACTTGTACAAGATCCTGGACAAGAAAATATACTTGTACAAGAAAATGTACATATTTTTTTGTGCAGGTTTCATATACATTTTCTTGTATCAGATGTCGAACATGTTCTTGTACATGTTCACTTATGTCTTTTAAATTAAAAATTAAAAACTTTAAAGGCTGCGAAGTAGTTTTTTTAAGCCTTTACAGCTGCGGAATAATTTTAAGCAAGCATAAGTGAAGATTCTTAAGAATTATAACTTATTAAAATTTCAAATTTTGTTCAAAAACATTTTTAAACAAATGTTCTTGTACAAGAACATAAACGTGTTCATGTAAAAGTACTTGTACATGAAACCTGCACAAAAATATGTACAAGAACATGTACATTTTCTTGTAGAAGTATATTTTCTTATCCAAGATCTTGTACAAGTTCTGGTACAAGAACATGTCTCAATTCCGGATGCTGAACTTGTTCAAGAACATTACTTGAACATGTATAAGAAAATGTACAAGTTCATTAATGAACATGTACAAGAACTTGTACATTTTCTTGTACAAGTTTTTTCAGCCGGGCTGTTTGTTGTGGTTTCGAACCGTTCGCCAACACAAAGTTCGAAAAAAAAAATTGTAAGAGCACAAAAATTCGTTTACATGCTTTTGCAAAAACTAAAACTATCGAACAAATGGGAAGTAAAGTCGCGGTGTACATTTTGTAGTTGCGTTGTTACATTCTGATACATTGTTACGTCTTTGATAGTTATTATTTGATGATTTTTTTACTACGCTTATTTTTTTGTATTTTTTGTTGTGAATATATTACCGTCCGACAAAATTCAAATTTTTTTCACACACGAAAAAATCAATGATTTTCAGAAACTAGGACCAAAAAAAAGATACCCGTGTCTGGCCGTTTTGCTAGATCAGGTCATTTTTGGCTTTTAGGGGTAAAAACAACCCTTAAATGAAAGGTGATAGGAAATCTTGTACAAATTAATAATTTTTCATGAAACCTGGTATCTCGGGGTTTTCCGGGTCGCTGATTACGAATCTGATGTCAGATTTTCAAAATTCAAAATGGCGGATCCAATATGGCGGTCGAAATTTATAAAAATTCACCAATTCATTCGAAAGTTGTTTCTAAGGGGTTTTTGGGGTCGCTGATTACGAATATGATGTCAGATTTTCAAAATTCAAATTGACGGATTCAATATGGCGGTCGAAATTTATAAAAGTTCATCGAATTCACTTGAAACTTTATACTTGAAGGTTTTTGGGGTCGCTGATGACGAATATGATGTCAGATTTTGAAAATTCAAAATGGCGGATCCAATATGGCGGTAATAAATTTTGATTATAACCTTTTGAATTTATTAATTCTAATAGAAACTTAATTTATTAAAAATCACTTAAAATAAAAATTTTAAAATGTTGGCTTTCAAATTTTAACAAAAAATTGATCGAACATTTAAATTTTCCAAATTATTTTTCAGATTTGTGATCGTCACCTTTATTAGATTTGGCGTTTTTATTATTCTTATCTGACATCATTTTCGTACTCAGAGACGCCGAAAGCACTTAGATACCAAGTTTTATAAAAAATTAACAATTTTTATAAATTTCAACCGTCATATTGAGTGTGCCATATTGAATTTTAAAAATCTACAATCAGATTCGTACTCAGCGACCCCAAAAAGCCAGAGATACGAAGTTTTATAAAAAACTAATAACATTTAAAAACTTCGACTACCATATTCGATCCGCCATTTTGAATTTTGAAAACCCGACATCGAATTCGTTATCAGCGACCCCAAAAACCTTCAAGTAACAAGTTTCAAGTGAATTCGATGAACTTTCATAAATTTCGACCGCCATATTGGATCCGTCATTTTGAATTTTCAAAATCTGACATCATATTCGTTATCAGCGACCCCAAAAACCTCTAAGTAACAACTTTCAAATAAATTGGTGAATTTTTATAAATTTCGAACGCCATATTGGATCCGCCATTTTGAATTTTGAAAATAT